AGCGGTGTACCTAACCATCCTGTCGCGACTTCTTAGCACTTTGCAGTTCACACTAATTTCGCGTTACTTTTTTCCTTTCTACGTATCGGTTTCCTTGTCCTCTTCCCCCCTCTTCCCCCCTCCTTACCCCGTGATAAACTCGCAATAAAGAAAGGGGAAAGGGACAGGCACGCCAGGCCTTCCCTCCTTTCCACGCTTTGTCCAACGCTTCGTCATTCTTTATACGCGCCTCGCACGATATCCTCCTCTCCCTCTCGCCCCTCGATAATTCCCTCGAACGAGGACGAGCGTTTACCACGAGTTCGAGGCTTCCCACTCGACCTAGTCATCGTCCGAGGAAAGATGATGGGAGGGTGTTGGGGGAAAAAAAAAAAAAAAAAAGAAGAAAATAAAATCGGGTGGACAACGACGGTGGTATAACGATGGCGGTTAGATTCGGGGAGGGAAGAGAGGGACGGCACGAGTTTCGCAAGATTTAAGCGCGATCCTTTGTCCGAAGAGTAACGCCCGCGAGTTTCGTGTCTCGTGGGGTAGGGCGTAGGAAATTCCAAGTCCCCGAATCGCCGTAAGATCGGGACACGTCNGGATCGGCATCGGCATCGGCATCGGCATCGGCATCGGTATCGGGGCGGAGGACCCGGGTCCACGGGCAGAAGAAGGAGGACGCGGTCGTAAATATTCGGGCGCCAAATAATGCCGGTTCCGAGCGAGAGCAAGCGACCACGACTGCTGCTCGACCCGTAATGAAGGACATCCTCGTTAATTAGTCAATAAATTATCCTTCGCGCTCACGACGCCCGTGCTGTCTTTCTCTCTCCCCTCTCCGTCCCTCTTTCCGGCCGGAGATCTTGTCCTTTTTGCCCGGGAGAACTCAAGGGCCGCATACTTTACGACACCTATCTCGCGCGACAGCACGATGCATTTCTCACAATCAGGACCCTCGAAGACGGAAACGCGTCTTGTAAGACGATCCACGAGGTGGTCCGCCGCTGGCTTTCAGCCACGATGAATTTTTCAACGACCGTTTCGTCCCGTTTCCTCCGCTCTTCCATCCGCTTCTTTTACACATCCCAACCCCCTTGTCCGCGTTTCCTGCGTTGTCGAGAAGAACAATTGGGAATGATGGGCGGAGGGGATGATACGTCCCGGGGAGATTAACACCGTTTTTCTTTTTTTCTTTTTTTTTTTGGAAATTCGTTCGTCTTTATTCGAATAAATAATGTCGAAACAGTGACGTCTGAAAGTAGTTTGATCGCTTAAGAACGAAACCTAACCTAATCTAAGTCGTATTTTACTTACGTCGTTTTTACCAATAATATCTTCTTTCATATTTTTGATTCGTATGAAATTGTAATAAGTATAATGTTATCCACGTGTAATAATTGTATATACGAAATTTTATTTACAAAATCATTTTTAATTCAGCTGAAAGCTATTTCTACGAGAGATAAAGATAAAATTAAATTCGTATCTTTATATATGTTCTTCGTGTCCAACTTGATGTTTCTTTCGATTTACGACTTCTGCTTTGAAGCAAAGAATGTAGATAAAATTTAAATCAAATTCAAAATCATTTCATAACTATATAGATATATTTTTTAAAATCGTATCTATGTATTTATATACTTCATGTTCATTTCGATATACGTCTTTTTCGACTTACGAAACCAATTAGAACGTAAATGCGGGTTACGGCTATATATCCATGATAATTTATGGCGGATGAACTCGAACGATTCTCATAATATCTCAAAACTCGAAGGGATATAAAGATTCGATCGTATACGCGTCTAAAGTGCTTACGTATCGTGCCACGTGACCGTACATCACTTTAACTATTTCCTGGCGTGGTACAGGCCTACCGGTTCGCACGATCGCGAACAACGAGAGAGAACAACAACAACGTCCAGGACTAACGCGCATCCGTGCGCTATGCCGGGTGCATCGAGGATAATTCAACGATACTCCCGCGAGCAATCGTCGATCCGAAAGATATATTTGAAAGATGTTGCCGCGGTGTGCCGAAGTGAACCGTTGCGGGTCGCCTTTTACCAATTTTAAGACGCACGTGCCGTCGTAAATTTCCAACGTTCCATCGGGAAAGCGAAACGATCGAAACCGATTAATTCGGCTCGTCGACGAAATCCGTGCTCCGATGGACTTTAAAAATCCCGATAACGTAGTCGTTCGCGTGGCCAGGCGTAGAAAACGTGTCACTGTGCACTTCCAACAAATGTGCGCGAAGTTCTTTCGCGAAATTCGTTCGAAATGGTTCCGGATTGTTCCCTTGGCAAACGTCGCATTCGTAAATCGTCTTGCCTGGATGCAGATTCGTCGACAACACGTGTTTCCTGAGATTCTCCTGAAACAGAAACGAAAAAATGACAGTGTTAGTCGAACGAATGAACGAGTATAGATGGCGGTATAGCACAGGAAAAGAAAAAGCAAGGCCTTCAGTTGCGATGAGAAAAAAAGATATCAAAGACGTCATTGTGAATAACTTTTTCTTATAACTTGATCGACAATCTCTTATAATTTTTGAGATATTTGAAAGGAAAAGGATTATTATCGTGTTAAATATTAATTTGTTCAACGTATATCTAAGAAGTAAGTATATCGTATTTAACAAAAAAAATTTTACTTTCTCTATTGTACTATCTTTTCTTAACGATTCAATTTGCGAAAAATTATATTTCATCCAATTGTATTCATATAAAAATCATTCGTCACCGATTAAATAAAATCTCTCTTCGCTTCGAATTTCATAATACTTGTATCGTATATTTTAGGTTAGATTAGGTTAAGTTAGTCAACACGAGACTGCCATTTATCAATTATTATACGTACTCACAGCGACCAAAATGTATATAACAGG